CACTCAGGAATGTCCCTCTGGTCGTATGCGGGAGCACGAATTCCGGCATGTTCTCTCCGCAATAATCTCACCGGAAAGGGCTACCGATCAGTACATTTCCCGACTTTTCCAAGCGTTTTCGACCGATGACAAAAAGTCAATCACTTTCCAGGTGAGCAACTCAATTTTGTATAAGCTTTCATGAACAGTGTAAACCCACACAGAATCTCATCGAGTGTCTCTCTCTCATTCAACCCCAAACGGCAGAATCCAATGCGCGCTGGACAATACGGATCATTACAGGCTGCCCGACGGACCACTTTGCCTTTCCGGCGAGTCCTTCTGTCAAATATTATCTCCGGTTTTGATAAAAAGTTAAATTTCTAGGAGTTCCTCTCTTTTACTCAAGCAGTATTCGGTTTGAATGAAGGGAAAGAGGGAGAATACTGTGACGAAAGTAACGGCACTCACGAAAGGAATAAGGAAACTGTACAGCAGCGTGCAACGACAATATTCAATGTGAGTCAAGAAAGAATTTAGAGATAGTGTGCAAGAACACTAGTACCTCAGCCTCTTATCCCCTTTCGATTTCGAAAAAGCTTTCTATCAGCATAATTTTGAATTTAAGAAAGCTAACTGGTAAACTTGGCCAAGCAGATTTCTCGGTTTACGATTATCTATAGATGTTTTTTGTCTGTTATTCTAGAGTTAAACCTTCTTCCGTCATTTCTCAAATGCAAACGGAGATACTTATTCATACGATTTACCTCTGCTCAACGACAGTTATCTAACTATGTTCGCCTACATTATTAATAGAAAAACCACTCCACTTTGTAACAATATTGCTTAGACACTCATGTGTTTGCATGATTATGTGTTAACTTGATAACATCCAATGATTATCCTATTATTCTTGAAGATTAGACTAACTTATTAAAAAAAAACGTGAATCAACGCTACCAATGCCCTTTTTTAAGAACCCATTTCGGTGTTCGATTCCTCCTCGGGACATAACTCTTGTCGCCAACCTAAAAAGTCAGAGACACTCCCATTATCATTGGTGTCGGGACGTTCAGTGAGTGAAATCGGGAGTTGGCATATTTTGGAAAAGGCAACAAACAAGAAAGAGTTACTCTTTGCTAGGGGGTGGAAGATGAAAAGTGCGAAATCGTGCGATGTCGGAAATGAGGTAGCTTCTCTAGCAATGGATCCTTCCCAGCGTTGGGAAAGAAGTTGAAGTGTCAAAGATATGCGAACGTTGCTCGGTTGTAGTTGCCTTGCAAGCGCTTCCCTTCTTCACTATGGCGCTGACTAAAAAAGACCTGAATAATGCGTATCTAAATAAAATGATCACAAAAACGATCAAGAATCCTCAGATTTTCTCTCCGCCTTAGAACTGAAATCAAATAGAAATGAAATAAAACAACAGACAACATGGCAAAGCGCCAGCATGGCGGAGCCAGCGTGGTGGAGTCAGCAGGTGGTACCGCCACGATGGTGTAAGTGTAGGATTTTCAATAGTGACAAATTCCGAGTTATATTTCTCTACCTTAATGAGAGGTACAGGATCTAAATAGTTGAAAACAATTCAGTCCAGCTTCACATTGGATCTCGGGGATGGAAAAAAATTAGAAACAAAGAAGTTATGGTTCACATAATAACCATTTGATCACCATATAACCTCTGCCTTTTTTCACCTTCCGCCAACACTCTTATTCTAAACAAATTGCAATGTCTCCCTGCTGCCCAAGTCATATTTCGCAAATAACAACTATTATTCTTGGCAGATCATACAGGTCAAATCAGGCCTCGGCACGAGGTCTCCGAATAAAACTCACGAGAACGAATCCCCGCTTGAAAATCCAGGAAATCACGAAATCCCTTTGTAACCTGTATAGACACGTGCAATCAGGACAAGCATTGCAGTTGATATACTTGGAG